AAGGAAGGATATTTCCACACGCTTGCAAGCAATCTTACATCGCAGGTTGACAATGCGGCGAAGTAGCTTGACTGTTTCAGAGGGAATTCGTCTTTTTAGAAATTTGAAACAGTTAGTTCCCTTTAGTAATTTGAAAAGCGCAGTAAGAAGACGAAGACTGGCAAATGCACGCATTTCGTATTGTCTCGTCAGTGCCTTTAACAATAACTCGCAATAATATTTATTCAGTGAAGGGTGCGACCAAACATACATACAAACAGACAAATAGACCAACACGTGATAAGTGAGATAGGGTTATCACCCCTATCCCCAGGGCAGTCTAATGCTGACCGATAATTGTTTCTGAACACAAAGCATCGGCTTAATCCAGTTAATTGCAATCGCCTCTGCGAAACGGAGGAGGCGAGAATTGGTGTGTTGTAATAGGATTGTGAACGCCGAATTGACCTCGACTTGGTGACCTGTGGTCAATAGGTGTCGGCCGATCGAAGAGGCTGGTGGCTTGCGCAGACATGCAGCTTGACTTATCACTTATCACGTGTTGGTCTATTTGTCTGTTTTTATGTATGTTTGGTCGCACCCTTCACTGAATAAATATTATTGCGAGTTATTGTTAAAGGCACTGACGAGACAATACGAAATGCGTGCATTTGCCAGTCTTCGTCTTCTTCCTAGAAATGCCAATTCCCCGGAGTTTGAGGAGGCGTCCATGAGGAACTTTGTCAAATGCCTTGCTGAAGTCGACGAAAACGACATTCAGACGATTGCGCATTTTACTCTAGCAACAAGCAAGTTAGAGACATAGGAACAGGACTTCCGAAAACCATGTTGAGCGCATGACAGGATATGTATGACATTCAGATGAAGATTTAGGGCTCTCTTAAGAAGCATTTCTATGATTTTACAAATTATCGATGTCAGACAGATCGGCCGGTAGTTTGCAGGACCCTGACGATCTCCTCCCATGTAATATGGGCCTTACAGTACCCAGTTTCCAAGCCTTCGGAAAGCGTCCGGCATCTAAGGAGTGCTGAAAAACTTGGCAAACAGGACGGGCAATGTACTGAGCCACCGTCTTGAAAAACATCCGGACCCGGTGAAGAATTCGGATTTAATTCAAGAAGTAGTCGCATAACCAAGTCGTCACTGAGCTCAATATGCTCTAGTGTAGAGGGGCGGGGTGACAAAGTCACGGGATAATGAAGCTTCGTTGGAAAAGATGGAGGAATACTGCAAAGCCAGGAAATCAGCTTTGGCATCATCCTCATACAGTGTTGTATTATTATTGCTGTAATGCAGGGCAGGTATCTCACACCCAGCTTTTGTACACCTTTTCTGATACGAGAACAGCAGTTTGGAAATGGTCTTGAATGTGTTTGCCAAACGAAGTTCATACTGTTGTCGTTTCTCGCGTTGCGTTTGTGTGCAGAGGCTCCTAATCGCCTTAGAGTTGCGCAGAAAGATAAAGGGAAATGGCCTTAAAGTCTACTGACTCAGAAGGACTCTCTACGCTCATCGCTGAAACTCAGGTTCCATTTCCGTTGGAACCGGAATGATATGATAATCCCGTGAATGCTCCTTCTTTTGCATATCGTTGAGGTGAGAATTGATAAATGTGTTTTCCGCTGATTGTGTTAGGTGGACCTTCTAACTAACGGATCAATGAACACAAAGAGGAACAAAGTCAAATCCTTTTGTGGAGATCGAGCAGGATAATCGCACTGTTGAATCAGGCCAGGTGCCCAGAACAAGATAGGCTTCTGCCCAACGAGCGTCCCATTTCTTGCAGCAGCATGCATCCAAAGCCTCCGGTACTTCGACTTCCAAGGTCACGACGTGCTGCCGTGTTCAACCGATCGAAGGTGTTTTCCTGAAATCCTTGTTTTGGAAAAGTACTTGAATAACAAGGAAGACAAAAATTGGCCTGTCAGTTTTCTTGTGATGCAATGGGACCCACAAGTCCTAACACACTCGTAATCTCTTTTGAGTGTCTTATTTTGTCATGGCGTGCTTGCCTTATTTCTTCATTCCAGCCCTATTTCTCGAAGACTTCCTGCGGAGATAATGTTAAATAACAGTAAACAGAAAATTTGACTTTGTCAATTTGCTTATGATTCAAACCGGCTTGGAATTGTACAGTACATCATCGGTTGAAGCTCTT